TGCTGCAATAAAATTTAATAAAAATGGACTAGCCTGCTGCATCATTTTTTTTCACTATGATTTTCGTGGTATCTTTGAATTCAGTCATCTGTAGGTTGAGAATTTTCATTTCCATCAAATGATGGGGCATCTATATGTTTCTAATACATTACCCAGTCCATATCAGTATCCAGCATGATATTTTTCCCCATTGAGATCTGATGTGTTTTCAAAGTGTTCCTTTAAGTTTTTTTTTATTTTTTTTAGCAGTGTGCACATTTTTTTTTTTGCAGAGGCCCAAGAGAATAAAATGGTGGGTGTTGCAATTTTTTTGTTGCACAGTAGTTTTTCAAAACTTTTTTGCGAAAAATATCCTTCAATGAATTTTAGTGAACACATATAACACCCAATTTTTGGTTAAATATAACTGATTATGTTACGGCAGATTATGTTCCGCCAAGTAAATAGATACCTAACTTGTCACACTTTAAAAATATGTACGCTCGTGAATGGTACCAAACTATGGTACCTAAAAATCTCCATAGGAGAAGCTTCAAAAGCCTTAACAGCTTACAAGTTTAGAGTTACACAGGAGGTCTGGAGCTAGAATTATTGCCGACTGAATTATTGTTTGTGAAGATACCTCATATGTGCGGGTCAATCACTGTTTATATATGCACACAGGACTTCTGTATGTGTTATTTCCGCATGAGCACAGGGGCACTTACAAATTTTTTTTTTTTTTTTTTAGAAGCTTTGTGAACACTGTACCTTGTGATAGCATAGACTTTGACAGTCATATCATAGGATGTCCATCCAGAGGGCAGTGGTTGAAGTGGCTGTAACTACATAAGGGTTTACATCCACTTCATACACCCAGTGAAGCGACTGGCCTCAGGTGATGCACACAAATCCTACATAAATTGTGCCTGTTTATCTGCAATATTGTCTTCTCTACATCTATTCAAAGTCCAGAATTTACTAAGCGTGTCTAAGCTTTCAGGATATGGGGTGGACAGCTGAAACTATACACTGCAGTAGCTCAGTGAGGAGAGCTGACTGCAGGGAATTAACCCCCCCACCCCCCTTTTCACACAGCACCCTCCGGTCACCTTTTTTCTCTTGGCGGCAGGAAAACGTGTCAGAAGAGATTCATGCTGATAGAGTAAGAAAGCAACAGAGAGAAATTACACAGTGATTCTAATTGAAATAAGTACACACTATAGATGGATGCGATTCATACGTGGCTGTATGGGGCGATTCCAAGCCCATTCATTTTCATAGTGCTTGCACAAATTTTTTTTTAAGCAGACTAACTGGACCGTATGGTACAAAAGTACCATGCAATCCAGTGCGGGCAAATGCACTGCATTTGGGGGTGTGAATACATTTTTGTTGACAAATGCTGCAGAGATCGCAAAGGCAGCGAGTTTTGCATGTGGGCTGAACCTCACATGAACACAGCACATTCCTGTGCAATTCAGACGCATGGTGGGAACCGGCCCTTACACAATACCCCTCTATGTTCAAATTGTGTACATTATAACAGAACTATAGGCAATATTTTTTTCCATTTTTGAAAAAGCAAGGGAGGGTTATAACCTGTCAGAATTTTGCCAGCTGTGCCCCATTGTGGAGATTTCCCTTCACTTCCTGTCCCATAGCCAAACAGGAAGTGAGGAAATCCCTGCAAATCAAGGGAATTTCTTGGGGACCCCCAGGTCACTAGAACTAGTGTCCCCATTGGCAGATATCCCCCCTATTACTTTTCTGGGGACAACCCAAAATATGTGATTTTCTTTTACTTTCACTAAGAAATGCAAACAGGACAAAGTATGAATCTCCCTAACGGGCACAGATCGCAATAAAAACTGATGGGTTCTAATCCCCTCTGACTATCCAAAACTATCCAAAACTTAAAAAAAAAAAAAAAAGTTCTGCCTTTAGTTACACTTTAATGCACACTAAAGTCTACACATTTTTTCCTCCATTAATGCTGTACCTCAAAATGTGGAGAATCCTGAAACTTCTGCTTTGTCCAGGCATTCAGCTAAAGAAGGAGTCCTTGTTATGCATGTTACCTGGCTGCTAAAATGCTGACGTCTCTAACCCGTAATAGCTCAGAGCTGATCAAAACTCCACTGCTCTACAGTACTGTGTTCCAGCAGCGGGTCGAGAAGTTCTCATCCAGGAGAAGATTTGCTCATACAACACAGATTCCTCTGAATTGGAGATCAGCACTAAGCTCGACTTGATTTTGTTTTCCGAAGTGGGATGAACCTCCTTATTCTGCTGCCGGAACACAGCGTGGTATAATATTACATACAGTCATGCTCTAGCCAAACTACAAATAAAATATCCTAGCCCATCTCTGGAACGAGCAAGGAGAATGGCTAGGTTCCTACATACAGAAGGAACACGGAGGAGCCTGAGAAAATGAACTCAAGGTTATTTGAGTTAAAAATACAAAGTTTTTAAGATTTCTTTAATCCTAAAAATTAAAAGCGAGAGCTTTTTTCCCTCAGGCAGAATGGGCCAAAAAATAGATCCAACTGCCTCTGAAAAGTCAAAAATGGTGAAGTCTTTCAGAGGGATGCAGCACTCTTGAAATTGCTAAAAATTTGGGGCATGATCACAGAACCACACGTTTTGTTGCAAACAGTCAAGAGGGTCGCAAGAAACGTGTAGAGAAAAAAAAAAATGACAAAGATTTGAAAAGAATCAAACTTGAAGTTACCAGGAACCCACCGTCCTCCAGTGCGGTCAAATTCCTGAATTGCAACCTACCTGGAGTGCCCAGAAGGTGTACAGTGCTCAGAGACATGACCAAGGTAAAGGCGGCTGAAACCCGACCCCACACTAAACAGGACAATTTGAAAAGTCAAGACTGGGCTAAGAAATATCTGAAGACAGGTTTTTTTAAAGCTTTAATGGACTGATGAGATAAGAGTGACTCTTGAAGGATGGGCCTGTGGCTGGATCAGTAATAGGCACGTCAAGAAAAAAAAAAAAAAAACAATGCAGCAGAGTTGCTTAGCTGTGAACAAGGCCTCCTGAACACACAAGTGATTTTTTTTCTGCCTCTAAACGTCTTTAGTAGGGATGCACCAAAATTTCAGCGGCCGAGACGTTTTGGCCAAAAACACCCCTTTTGGCTGCCGGCTGAAATGGAAAAAAAAAGCACCGATACAGGTGCTGAAAAAACCCCGCCCCTCAAAGCCGCCCGTCCGCCGCTCGGTAATTCAGTCTTACCTGAGAAACCATCGATCCCGGCGCTGGGCATAGAGATGGGTGAAGGAAAGATGGCCACCACATATCTCTATGCCCTTGGAGGACCGGAGAGATGTCACTTTCGGTTCTGAACATTTTTTTTTTTTTTTAAAGCATTAGATCAATTTTTTTTTATCTAATTTTTTTACATTGCAGAGGAGAGATGTGGGGTCTTAGTGACAGTGCAAAAACAAAAAAAAAACAAAACCTTAAAATACATTTAAAAAAAAAAAAGTTTAAAGTGCCCCTGCCCCCCATCGTGCTCACACGTAGTGGTAAACGCTCATAGGCCATGCCCACATGTAAATGGTGTTCAAACCACACATGTGAGGTATCGCCACGAACGTCGGCGCAAGAGCAATCATTCTCGTACTAGACCTCCTCTGTAACTTTACACTGCTAACCTGTAGAAATTTTTAAAGCATCACCCATGGAGATTTTTAAGTACCGCAGCTTCATGCCATTTCACGAGCGTGCGCAATTTTAAAGCATGACATGTTGGGTATCTATTTACTCGCCGTAACATCCTCTTACATATTTTACAAAACAATTGAGGTATATATTGTTTATTAAATCAAAGTTTATTTTTTTAAATATATATATTCATTTTTAAAGTCTGCGCATTTCGGTTTTCAGCCAAGTGCATTTAGAATTTTCAGTTTCAGCATCAAAATTTTCATTTCGGTGCATCACCGAAAACAAACAGAATGGAGCTTAGACCCAGTTCACATCTGATGTTTTGGGATCTCTGGAAGAATTTCTGCCTGTAATCTCAAGTCGCACCACGTGTGTTTCGGTGCCATTAAGTTTCAATTGCACCTAAATAAGGTGTGTTTCTGGCAGGATAAATCATGTTACAATCACAGCAAACTGCATCACATGAAGCTTGCCGTCCAAAAAGAAGCTCTTTTTTGGACAACAAAGTTTGCACGATTTATTGTGCATCAACCATGGTAGAACCGCCACTGAAAATAGATGGCACCTGAACATGTGTGTCGCACTGTACCACCGTTGCACGGCAATTTGAGATTGCACAGTGATTCTGAGATCCCAAAATGCCTTATGCATTTTGGGATCAGGGCCTTATGCCCTCCCTGTTCATACTGCCATTAAAAGCATGAGATTGAGGTGCTTTTTTAATTCATCTCAACCGCCTAGTAAAGTGGTCTGCAACTGAAAATATTGACACCACACAGTGCTGTTCACATTATCAAAACATTAAGCGCTTACGTCAAGTTGCTGTGCTTCCAAAATGAAGCTTCACGAGTTTGGAAGGAGTTGAAGCATCTTATCTATCACCTTCCATTCAAGTTTACGGTAACGCATCATGAACACGCCGCTACGTTTGCAATGCGTAGTGGCGTGTTAGACTGTTCACAACAGCCAAAAAAACCCCCTAGGTATCTGGGCTGTGTCAAATGCACACAGGTCAAACTCAGTGAACAGCTTGCATCAACAGTATATGTGCGCTTGTTAACCACTTGCCATCCACCTGCTGTTTATAAATGGCAGGACAATGGCACTCCAGGGGCAGGTTGCCGTTCATCAACGGCACCCGCCATTTCTAGCTGTGCGCGCTCCCTGGGAGCGCGCAGCACCATGATCCGGTGCCCGCTGTGTCCTCCGGACACAGTGAAACACGATCGTCGGCCGGGATCCCGATCATGTGATCACTGATTGGCCAATCAGTGATCACATACAAAGTAGTAAGCAAGATGTCTCTTGTGACATCATTGCTTACTACGTGTGAAATCTGTGAATGATTACAGAGGTCACATGGTACAAGGCTATTCGCAACAGCCTTGTACTATGTGACAAACTGTGACCACTCACAGCTCACTCGGTATTTCTCAATGGCTGCAAGAATGCAGACAGAGGAGAAATTATTGCTTTTACATCCTATATATGGGTGTAAAAGCAATCACTGTAAAAAAAAAAATCTTCATCACCCCCCACAAGTAGTAGTGTCACCATGGTGACACTGTACTGCTAGGGTGACAGTATGTAAAAAAAAAAAAAACTAAAATAAAATAAAATAAAAATGTAAAAGAAATGTTTAAAAATTATAATTTGTTGTTATAAACTAATTTGGCTTTTTTTTTTTTTTTTTTTTTACTAAAAAGATAACGGAATACATTTCGTCCAAGATTTGTGATGAAAGATTATTTGCACAATTTTATAAGAAACTTTTTTTCAAAATTTTTGGACATTTTCATTTACATAGCAAAAAACATGAAAATCCCAGCGGTGAATAAATACGGCCAAAATAAAGCTTTATCGGTCTCAAAAAAATGGCAAAAAATTCATATGGGTACAGTGTTGCTTGACCCGCGCAATTGTCAAAGTGTGATAGCGCTGAAAGCTGAAAATTGCCCTGGACAGGAAGGGGGTAAAAGTGTCCGGACAGGAAGTGGTTAAGCCTCAGTATTTTGAGCAAGTGTGAACAAGGCCTTAGGGCTTTACACTTGACTCAAAATGCTAACTCTTAATACACATGTGGGTGCATTAATAGGTGCACATGACTCACATTTAACCCATTCCAGTTTGCCCTATAGCAGAACTACTGCTACAGGGCGGCACGGGTGTGCAAAATCATGTATTTTGCATTTCCGGATAGGGGGCGCGTCCTACCAGCGCCGCCATTCACAGCCATGCAAAGCAGTGTGCTTACTGTGAAACACAAACAAAGCCCCACAGTAAAACACACACAGCAACACCTTTAACCCATCGATCATCCCTCATGTTAACCCCCTCTTGCCCAGTGTCTGTAGTGTCAGCGCTTTTTATTAGCACTGATCACACTGTATTGGTGTCACTGGGGATGTCAGTGACACCACGTCAGTCCTCCCCCCCCCCCCCCCCCCCGTCAGAATGCCCACCTAATTTAAAAAAAATCCAGTATCTATAAAGCCGTTTGTAAACGCTATAAATTTCATGTAAACCAATTTACATGTATTGGAATTTTTTTTTTTTTTTTTTAGCAGACATATAGCAGAATACATTTTGGCCTAAATTTGACAAAATTTTTTTACTGGATATGTTTAATAGCAAAAAGTCAAAAACGCAGTTTCTCAAAATTGTTTTTTTTTTTTTTTTTATTAGCGCACAAATTATATATTTAAAAAAATGCACAGTTAATCAAAAACCACCGAAAGAAAACTATTTGTGGGAAAAAAGGAAGTAAATTTCATTTGGGTGCAGCGTTGCAAGACCGGGCAATTGTCAATTAAAGTAATGCAGCGCCGTAACACAAAAAGTGGCCTGGTAAATAGGGAGGGGGAATACTCAGGAGGGCAAGTGGTGAACCACATCCTGACCGCCCTATAGCAGATATACTACTACAGGGCGGCAGAGGTGCGCAAAATCAGCTATATATACACGTGATTTTGTATTTCCGGGTAGGAGGGCGCGCACGAGCGCCCTACCTGCGCCAACATTCGAGGCCCTCAATCACTGAGTCCCGGCCGACAGGGAGGACTGCTTTGTTTACTAACAGTCCTCCTCCCTGTCAGCTCGGGCACACTGCTCTGGATAGCACAGCCATCCAGAGCAGTGTGCTTACAGTGAAGCACACAGGCACCCACCCGTGGCTGTCAATCACCGGGTTCCGGCTGGTAATTACTCCAGCGCTCAGTGATTTCCAATCACCGACGGGGAGGGAGGACTGTTTTATTTACTAACAGTCCTCCTCCCTATTCAGCTTGGGCACACTGCTCTGGATGGCTGTGCAGAGCAGTGCGATTACAGTGAAATGCACACCGCCCCCTAGTAAAACACTCCCAGTACACAGTTAACCCTTTGTTTGCCCCTCATGTTAACCCCTTCCTGCCCAGTGCCATTAGGAGTGATGGTGCTTTTTTTTTAGCACGGATCACAATATTGGTGTCACTGGGGATGTCAGTGACACCAAGTCAGCTCCCCCAAGTAAAAAACTTATATATAAAATCTATATATAAAATCGAGCGCAGTGTATAGGTGTAAGTACGGTAGCTGCTTGCACAAAAAGGCACCTCGGGAACCTCCAAAGTAATTGATAAAGAATGAGAGTGCAGCGCTAACCCAAACAGCGATTAAACATATGATAGACCACATATGATAGTGGATCAGTAAAATGTCAGTGTAAGTTCATCAGATGTGCTGAAAATCCATACAGTCTCCAATATGTAAAGAACCAAAAGTAGTGACTTTCAGAAATGATAATAGCCAAATAATGCACTAACCAGATAGCGCATATTAAAGCGCATGGAGCATTTAAGACCTGCCCCTGGTGCTCAGCCACTGTATCACTGGAGCCAGGAGATGTCATCTATAGGGTGACCACTAGATGTCATCTATCCGGATGGAAGCTGAGTCCAGCCACTGTATTAGAGGATCAGGCGGATGTCATCGAACCGTTGTTAGTAAGTTCTTTTCTGATTATTTACCTACTTTAATAAACGATATCACACTATTTGAGGCCTTTTTCCACGGGCTCTTTATTTCTGGGGAGCCTGTAATTCTGAAGGTCCTGGGGCTGTGCTTAGCAAAGGACACATCTGCAAGTGACATCCCTGGATCCATGACACAGCTCCTCCTGGAACGGATGACATCTAGTGGTCGCCCTATAGATGACATCCGCCTGATCCTCTAATACAGTGGCTAGACTCAGCTTCCATCCGGATAGATGAAATCTAGTGGTCACCCTATAGATGACATCTCCTGGCTCCAGTGATACAGTGGCTGAGCACCAGGGGCAGGTCTTAAATGCTCCATGCGCTTTAATATGCGCTATCTGGTTAGTGCATTATTTGGCTATTATAATTTCTGAAAGTCACTACTTTTGGTTCTTTACATATTGGAGACTGTATGCATTTTCAGCACATCTGATGAACTTACACTGGCAGCTCCCCCAAGTGTCAGAATGTCCGCCGCAGTCCTGCTATAAGTCGCTGATCACCGCCATTACTAGTATAAAAATAAATAAAAATGCCAGTATCTATACCATTTGTAAATGCTATAACTTTCACATAAACCAATTTACACATACTGGGATTTTTCTTAGCAAAGACATGAAGCAGAATACATTTTGACACAAGTTTATGACAAAATTAGATTTTAATTTTTTTTTTTACTGAACATGTTTAACCACTTCCCGACCGGCCGTTGCATATAAACGGCCCGGACGGTGGCACTGCAGGGTCGGGTGGCCGTTTATAAACGGCCTCCCCGCACTCTGCTTGTGCGCGCTCCCTGGGAGCGCGCAGCACCGCGATCCGGTACCCGCTGTGTCCTCCGGACACAGTGAATCACCGATCGGACGGGACCTCTGTACGAGGTCCCGATCATGTGATCACTGATTGGCCAATCAGTGATCACATGCAAAGTAGTAAGCAAGATGTCACTTGTGACATCATTGCTTACTACGTGTGAAATCTGTGAATGATCACAGAGGTCACATGGTACAAGGCTATTCACAACAGCCTTGTACCATGTGACAAGCTGTGACCAATCACAGCTCACTCAGTACTTCTCAATGAGTGCAAGAATGCACACAGAGAGAAAGAGAAATGATTGCTTTTACATCCTATATGGGTGTAAAAGCAATCAGTGTTAAAAAAAAAAATCTTCATCACCCCCCACAAGTAGTACAGTGTCACCATGGTGATACTGTACTGCTAGGGTGACAGTATGTAAAAAAAAAAAAAATATATAAATAAAAATGTAAAAAAAAAAGTTTAAAAATTATAATTTTTGGTTATAAACTAATTTGGATTTTTTTTTTTACTAAAAAGATAACGGAATAAATTTTGGCAAAGATTTATGATGAAATATTATTTGCAAAATTTAAAAAAAAAAAAAAAAAAAAAAAAAAAAAAAAAAACTTTTCAAAATTTTTTGACTTTTTCATTTACATAGCAAAAAAAAAAAAAAAAAATCCCAGCGGTGAATAAATACCACCAAAATAAAGCTTTATCTGTCTAAAAAAAATGGTAAAAAATTCAATTGGGTACAGTGTTGCATGACCGCGCAATTGTCATTCAAAGTATGATAGCGCTGAAAGCTGAAAATTGCCCTGGTCAGGAAGGGGGTAAAAGTGGTTAATAGGAAAAAGTAAAAAACTCTCAAAAATGTCACTTTTTATTTTTTTAATAGCGCAACAAAACAAAATCGCACAGGCGATCAAATACCACAGAAAGACGTAAATTTAATTTGGGTGCAGCGTTGCATTACCGTGCAATTGTCAGCTAAAGTAACAGCATCATAATACAAAAAAATGGTCTGGTCAAGAAGGGGGGTAAATCCTTGCTGCGTTTGATGCACATTTGCAGCATGTTTCTATAGACATGAATGGAAGGGGTTAAAATGCTCCTAGTTCAAATGGCTGTAGAAGTAGTTTTGCCCTGTAGTGTGCATGAGGCCTAATATTGTGAAGCAGGCCCAGCTCCTCATATACATATCAGCAGGCGGATTCAAGAAATGGCACAGGCCCGCCTCTGTTCACACGTGTCCTGGCCAAGACTTCTTATCTGCAGTCACTTGTTTCTTCATTGATGTGAGCCGTGCAGCAACCATCATACCCCATACAGACAAAGCCATCAGTCACATGGGCGGCTACTAATTTCCGTCTCTTTTCCTAATGTGACTCGGCTGTCCGGGTACATATATAGACAGGAGAGAAACCACAAAGCGGCACAAACCCATCGCCCCCAGCAGCAAACCACCTCACGACGGCCTGGCTCCCAGTCCATAGATATCACCGCACACCCTACCAGGGCAGCGCAACTAACCATAGGGAGTAAGGTCCGGCCGCTTCTCCTGGGGACAATAAGTCCCCACCACTGCCCGCAACACTGGCCGAGGCGTGTGCATATCTTCAGCACGTTCCCGCCTTCCATTCCAGTCAGGACTAAGCCCTACGCAATGTACCAAACCCGCCACTTCCTGGGTATAGTACAGAGACCACCTTCCGCTTCTCTCCCGGTACTCACCAGGCGGTGCCCGATACGTCGCCGCTCTCCTCAACGATCCCGTTCTGTCTCCCGTCTTGCAGTTGAACTAGGCCGCACAGCAGCGGAACTCACCGTGTCATACGTGAGGATTCATCCGCCTAACAAAACAGCCACATGCTAACCTCAAGCCACACCCACTTCCGGGACTATTGAATGGGACTTTCTCTCTGTGTTCTGCTGCGCGGAACGACATGACACTGTAGAAAAAAAGTTCCCGTGAAAGGCAATTGTTAGTAGAATTCCGTGTCCTGTAGTCAAGCGTTAGTGTAGTGTACAGCCGTGTTCTGTCATTTCTGAGGCCCGCTCCACACATGGCGTCTGTACAGCAGAACCATTCCGGGAAATTCCTTCATGACTGCAACCGAAAAGCGGTTGTGGTTTTGGAGTGAATGTAAACCTATCATCGCTTCTTTGTTAGGAAGATCCCTCCAGTGTACTGCAGGCCAGGCTGTGTTCGGTCATTTCAGAAACTCTTCAACAAAATTCAGTCCCTGTAGCAGGCCGATTCCTTGAAATTCTTTTATGATTATAACCATGACGTTGGAGAGGTTTGGGGTTACTCTTAGATTGTAAGCTTCAAGGAGCAGGGCCCTCCTAACCCTCTTGTATTGTTGCTGTATTGTCTCCCGTCATATTGTAAAGCGCTGAGCAAATTGTTGGTGCTATATAATCCTGTATAAAAAATAATACTCCGCTCTCGCTGCAGCAGGATTTAATTTGTACAGAACTTAAGAAAAAAAAACATTAACCAGAGCATTCAGCCCAATTCCTATGTGCAGAATGCATGTTTTTCATGTGTTTTAACTTGATACGTATAAAGTAGCTGATCCACTTGAATGGGCTTCCCCCCATATCCTGCAGCTTTTAGGAAATTGCACGTTTTAGTTGCATTTGTCTCTAAAAATGCACGTCTCCTTGTGGAATTTAGTGTGCCATTATTAATGAATGGCACCACAAACACGACGTGTGGTTTTCCTGCGTTTCAGGAGCAAGCAGATGTGAATGTAATATATATATATATATATGTAAAGTGCTGCGTAAATTGATATATAAGTACCTTAAATAAATAAATGTGAATGCAGCCGTAGGCTCTTCACATCACACAAAAAAGCTCACAGCACACTAAAGCCTGTCATAGATGGTGCGATTTTCTTTCTTACAGCCATGGGTTGCAGGAAAGAAAAGCACTCGGATAGTGTTAATGGGGGAATGCTTCCTGCGGAATTGTGTTCTGGTGGGGGGAGCTGTCCTTGCCAGGAGAACACAGTGATTACTGCTAGTGGCTACAATAGTCGCTAGCAATAATTGCATGCAAAACCCAGCAGGCTGGTTGTATATTCAGCCTGCCCATACAAGGTTTGAATCTCAGCTGGTCCATACTGAACGCTGCATCTTTGGCCAGGTTTAAGATGCTATTCATTGTTAATGGCACCCCAAACATGGCAAGGAAGTGGGTGTTTTCAAGCGCATCAAAACACACAACAGCACAGTTAAAACCATATGAAACTCAACGACCAAAATGGTACAGGAGTTTCGTTGGCTTCTTTGTTTTGAACTTAGGACAACTATTTGAATGAAAAAAAACAAAAAAAAATAATGTGGCACTGCTACCATATAAATCCTTCACATAACACTGAATTTGCATAAATATAAGTCAGAAACAATTGAGTACTGTCCGTGATACTTTTTTTATTTGCACTAACATACAATTTTGAGGACAAGCTTTCGGGGTACATCCCCTTCTTCAAAGTCCAAGCAGTACTATTATAAATCACAAAGTTTAAGCAGAATGTTAGAAGGGATGAAGAAAAAAAAGGCTACAGATAAGATACAGCAAAAGGAGGGGGGGGGGGGAGGGGATACTACACTCACACAGAGGGGGTCAAGCTAGCTAATAGTCATAAAACTGTTGGATTACGAGTGAGGAATCCCATGTCCAAATTAAGGCCGTTCTCTTGTGTCAAATAGAATTATCATATTTAGTTCAAAAGTTTTTCTTTCCTGAATGGATTTGAATTTTCCTTTCAGAACTAAAACATTGAGGTCTCCCATTGTGTGGCCTGGTTGTGTGAAATGGTGTCCTACAGGTGTGCAGAGGTCGTCTTCTTTATGTTCCTTGATGGTATGTCTGTGCAAATTCATACTTGTTTGCAACTTCTGTCTTGTTTTTCACCAACATAAGATCCTTTGCTGCATTTTCTGCACTGGATAAGGTACACAACATTACTGGAGGTGCAGCTGTATGATCCGGAGATATTAAAGATCCCTTTTGAGTGTCTGACACTTTTTGATGGATTGATTTGGTTACACAGCTTGCAGCGTTTCTTATTGCAGGGTTTGCTTCCATTATTTGTGACATCATAATCAGAAGGAAGTTTCCTACTGATTAGTTTATTTCTGAGGTTGGGGGGTTGTCTGAAGGCCAGTATTGGGGGTTGCTGGAATATTTCTTTCAGAGTTCCATCCTCTGTTATGATGGGTTGTAATCAAAGATTTCAGAGGGGGTCCTCTGTGTGAGTGTAGTATCCCCCCCCTCCTTTTGCTGTATCTTATCTGTAGCCTTTTTTTTTTCATCCCTTCTAACATTCTGCTGAAACTTTGTGATTTGTAATAGTACTGCTTGGACTTTGAAGAAGGGGACATACCCCGAAAGCTTGTCCTCAAAATTGTATGTTAGTGCAAATAAAAAAAGTATCACGGACAGTACTCAATTGTTTCTGTCGCAAATGCACTAATACGGCTACAATCACCTCATAAATATAAGTGAAATAGTGCAAATGAGTGAAAAAAGACCAATCAACAATACATAAACCGTGATGGACGACAGTGTAAAGTTACCTCACACAATAACACATGTAACAAGTGCCAACCAACAGGTCCAAAATAAGGGACCAAACTTAGGGTAATAGTGCCCCAAAAGATCCTAATGGATCTAATAGTGATCAACAAACAACATAAAAAAGTCCAAAAAGGGACTTGGCATAAATGCGTGCTGCAAAACCTCCCACCAGAACAAATAAATTATTCTAACCACACATAACAAAAAATCACAAGTGCATTCCAAACAACATATAATTGTGTCTAATCATGCAAAAAATTACATATATAAACGCATAATAAAACAGATAATATAGTAAAAAAGTCCCGTGAAGTGAAAAAACACCTAGCAGCAATCAACAAAATAAAGTCTACATAAATTCTTTAAACACAAAGTGATGACAGGTGTTCAAAGATATCCAAAATGGCTGAATTGCCCGCTCACCTCCCTCTTGCGACCCACACAGGGTCAAAGAGCCTTTAGGATCACTAATACCTGGATCCTTAATACCTGGGACTCCTCCACAGCTCTGCACACTGGTCTCCTCAAATACAGGATCACAGGACAGCAGATCTCCTCTTCAGGCAATGTGCGTCACCGCCGACGCATATCGTTACACTTGTCGGCTCATGAAGCCCTGATGAAGTCACATGACAAGCGTGACGATACGCATC